ACACTGGGTCACAAAACAGCCCTTCATAAATATAAAAGAATTGAGATCATACCATGCATACTTTCAGACAACAATGCTATGAAGCTTGAAATCAACCACAGCAAAATTCTGGAAAACCTCCAAAAGCATGGAGGTTAAAGAACACACTACTAAAGAATGAATCGGTCAACCAGGCAATTAGAGAAGAAATTTTAAAATATATCAAAATAAATGAAATTGAAAATACAACAATCCAAACGCTTTGGGATACAACGAAGGCAGTCCTGAGAGGAAAATACATTGCAATCCAGGCATATCTCAAGAAAGAAGAAAAATCCCAAATACAAAATCTAACAGCACACCTAAAGGAAATAGAAGCAAAAAAGCAAAGACACCCCAAACCCAGCAGAAGAAGAGAAATAATAAGGATCAGAGCAGAAATAAACAATACAGAATCTAAAAACCTGTGGAGCAGATCAATGAAACCAAAAGTCTGTTTTTTTGAAAAAATAAACAAAATTGATAAACCTCTAGCCATGCTTCTCAAAAAGAAAAGGGAGATGACCCAAATAGATAAAATCATGAATGAAAATGGAATTATTGCAACCAATCCCTCAGAGATACAAGCAATTATCAGGGAATACTATGAAAAATTATATGCCAACAAACTAGACAACCTGGAAGAAATGGACAAATTCCTAAGCACCCACACACTTCCAAAACTCAAACAGGAAGAAACAGAAAATTGAACAAACCCATAACTAGCAAAGAAATTGAATCAGTTATCAAAAAACTCCCAACAAATAAGAGTCCAGGACCAGATGGCTTCCCAGAGGAATTCTACCAGACATTTAAAGCAGAGATAATACCTATCCTTCTCAAGCTGTTCCAAAAAATAGAAAGGGAAGGAAAACGTCCAGACTCATTCTATGAAGCCAGCATTACTTTGATTCCCAAACCAGAGACCCAGTAAAAAAAGAGAACTACTGGCCAATATCCCTGATGAATATGGATGCAAAAACTCTCAACAAGATACTAGCAAATCGAATTCAACAGCATATGAAAAGAATTATTCACCATGATCAAGTGGGATTAATTCCTGGGCAGCAGGACTGGTTCAAGATTCACAAATCAATCAATGGGATACATCACATTAATAAATGAAAAGATAAGAACCATATGATCCTTTCAATCCATGCAGAAAAAGCATTTGACAAAATTCAGCATCCTTTCATAATAAAAAGCCTCAACACACTCGGGATACAAGGAACATACTTAATCATAAGAGCCATTTATGAAAAGCCCACAGCTAATATCATCCTCAATGGGGAAAAACTGAGAGCCTTCTCCCTGAGATCAGGAACACGACAGGGATGTCCATTCTCACCGCTGTTGTTTAATATAGTGTTGGAAGTTCTAGCATCAGCAATCAAACAACAAAAGGAAATCAAAGGCATCAAAATTGGCAATGATGAAGTCAAGCTTTCACTTTTTGCACATGACATGATTCTATATAGAAAACCCGATAGACTCCACCAAAAGTCTGCTAGAACTGATACATGAATTCAGCAAAGTTGCAGGATACAAAATCAATGTACAGAAATCAGTTGCATTCTTATACACGAATAATGAAGCAACAGAAAGACACAAAAAGAAACTGATCCCATTCACAATTGCACCAAGAAGCATAAAATACCTAGGAATAAATCTAACCAAAGATGTACAAGATCTGTATGCTTAAAACTATAGAAAGCTTATGAAGGAAATTGAAGAAGACATAAAGAAATGGAAAAACATTCCGTGCTCATGGGTTGGAAGAATAAATATTGTGAAAATGTCAATACTACCCAAAGCTATCTACACATTCAATGCAATCCCAATCAAAATTGCACCAGCATTCTTCTCGAAGCTAGAACAAGCAATCCTAAAATGTGTATGGAACCAAAAAAGGCCCCGAATAGCCAAAGTAATTTTGAAGAAGACCAAAGCAGGAGGCATCACAATCCCAAACTTTAGCCTCTACTACAAAGCTGTAATCATCAAGACAGCATGGTGTTGGCACAAAAACAGACACATAGACCAATGGAATAGAATAGAAACCCCAGAACCAGGCCCACAAAAGTATGGCCAACTATTCTTTGACAAAGCAGGAAAGAATATCCAATGGAAAAAAGACAATCTCTTTAATAAACGGTGCTTGGAGAACTGGACAGCAACATCCAAAAGGATGAAACTAGACCACTTTCTTACACTATTCACAGAAACAAACTCAAAATGGATAAAGGACCTGAATGTGGGACAGGAAACCATCAAAACCCTAGAGGGGAAAGCAGGAAAAAAACCTCTCTGAAATCAGATGCAGCAATTTCTCACTTGACACATCCCCAAAAGCAAGGAAATGAAAAGCAAAACTTAACTATTGGGACCTCATGAAGATAAAAAGCTTCTGTACAGCAAAGGAAACAATCAACAAAACTAAAAGGCGACCAATGGAATGAGAAAAGATATTTGCAAATGACATATAGGACAAAGGGCTAGTATTCAAAATCTATTTAAGGGGCGCCTGGGTGGCGCTGTCGGTTAGGCGTCCGACTTAAGCCAGGTCACGATCTCGCGGTCCGTGAGTTCGAGCCCCGAGTCGGGCTCTGGGCCGATGGCTCGGAGCCTGGAGCCTGCTTCCGATTCTGTGTCTCCCTCTCTCTCTGCCCCTCCCCCATTCATGCTCTGTCTCTCTCTGTCTCAAAAATAAATAAAAAACTTTGAAAAAAAAAGTTTAAAAAAGAGCCTTTCTAAAAAAAAAAAAAAACAAAAACAAAATCTATTTAATAGCTCACCAAACTCCACAACCGAAAAACAAATAATCCAGTGAAGAAATGGGCAGAAAACATGAATACACACTTCTCTAAAGAAGACATCCACATGACTAACAGGCACATGAAAAGATGCTCAACGTCACTACTCATCAGGGAAATACAAATCAAAACCACACTCAGATATCACCTCACGCCAGAGTGGCTAAAATGAACAAATCAGGAGACTATAGATGCTGGCGAGGATGTGGAGAAATGGGAACACTTGCACTGTTGGTGGGAATGCAAACTGGTGCAGCCGCTCTGGAAAACAGTGTGGAGGGTCCTCAAAAAAATTAAAAATAGATCTACCCTATGACCCAGCAATAGCACTGCTAGGAATTTATCCAAGGGACACAGGAGTACTGATGCATAGGGGCACTAGTACCCCAATGTTTATAGCAGCACTTTCAACAATAGCCAAATTATGGAAAGAGCCTAGATGTCCATCAACTGCTGAATGGGTAAAGAAATTGTGGTTTATATACACAATGGACTATTAAGTGGCAATGAGAAAGAAGGAAAAATGGCCTTTTGTAGCAACATGGGTGGAACTGGAGAGTGTTATGCTAAGTGAAATAAGTTATACAGAGAAAGACAGATACCATATGTTTTCACTCTTATGTGGATCCTGAGAAAGTTAACAGAAGTCCATGGGGTGGGGGAAGAAAAAAAAAAAAAAAAGAGGTTAGAGAGGGAGGGAGCCAAACCTTAAGAGACTCTTAAAAACTGAGAATAAACTGAGGGTTGATGGGGGTGGGCGGGAGGGGACGGTGGTTGATGGGTATTGAGGAGGGCACCTTTTGGGATGAGCACTGGGTATTGTATGGAAACCAATTTGACAATAAACTTCATATATTGAAAAATAAATAAATAAATAAATAAATAAATAAATAAATAAATAAATACAGAGAGCGAACTGAGGATTGATGGGGTGTTGGGGGAAGGGGAAATGGGTGATGGGCATTGAGGAGGACACTTGTTGGAATAGCACAGGGTGTTATACAGAAGAGATGAATCACTGGATTCTACTCCTGAAGCCAAACAACACTGTATGTTAACTAACTTGAGATTACATACATACATACATACATACATACATACATACATACATACGTCTTATAGATTAACATCTACTGTAATTCTAGTCTTTGAAATGCACATTTAGCAGCAAATTTTATCTGTAACGCATTTACTACCTAGGGAAAAAAATCTGAATATACAGTTCCTCATTCCCGTCCTGAAGCTTTCCTTCATATTGGCATAACTTTTGCATCTATTCCATTTCTCCTAATGAAACATCAGGATATGGTCTAATTCTCCAACCTCTTCCTGAACTGCTTTTTCTCTCCCACTTTACAGACATCAATCGGATGCAGGTCAATGGTTTAGGAAATCTTTCTTCGTGATCTGGGCTTTCAGGCAACACTGGGAAATGTTGCTCCCTTCTTAATCTGAATTAATGCTTTTATAATGTGCCTCTAGGACTAAGACCTATTTGCTGGGTTTTTTTCCGTCAGAAGAGTAGCAAGAATCTGTGACAGGTTTCATCACCTTACGTGAAGTCACGTGTTCAAGAAGGCGGCGTCCTCCTGTCCAGAATGAGTTTTTAACCTGCCTGGGGAACAGCAGAATTCACAGAATTCACAGCCACGCTCAGGAAAGACACGAAGGGGCGGCAGTGCTGGACAGCACGTGCTTAGCTTTTCCACACGTTGTGGGCTCCTCACTGCTCAAGCAGCAGCATATCGGGAGAACCGTCTCTGGATCATAGTAACGTCCATCTTCAATCTCTCTTGGAAAAGAGTGTGTCTGGGTTGGTAAAACAATTGGGGGAGGTAAGGGAAAATGAACTTAGAGTTATATGCACTGATTCCTCTGGTTTTCTTTCAGAATTCTTACCATAAATCAATATTGTAAATCTCTGCAGAGAAATTCTCCCTTTTAAGCTCTATTATGGAAGATTAAATCTATTCTCCACTGGAAGAGGAGGACATGAAACTCTTTCTTGATGTGTGATTTCAGACATTTTGATCCAGCAGAAATGTAATGGGGAAATGTAGGTTAAATTGGAAATGAAGGACTGAAATACAATATTTTATGCAAGAGGACTGTGCACATGGGAAGGAATCAGATCTGTCTCTAAATCTCCTGGT